ACAGTCATCATCTTCAAATCTTGAGAAAATTCCAAAAGAGAGACCTGCAGGGTATAGATTCACAAGCATGATTTGACAAGGAGATATCAAAAATTTAAGCGACGCAAATGTTTATCACTAGATCTACAAGATCCATTTATTGAGACTTCATTCCGTTCTGTGTGAAATACATCCCAATCAAGAACTCCAAGAAATCGAACAAGTACCTTTTGGAACATCACTACAACTCTAGCAAATAAAAGTGTATGTACCAATTTTGACAAAGAAAATTAGAAGTCTCTATCTCTGCAATATTGAGCTGCATCCTTAACATGCACAATGACACACTCCCTGACCCATGTCTGAACCACAACCAAAAGTAACCTATTATTTTTGAACTTTTTAGAACCGGGACACACTGGAAACATATGGGACACACATGGCCATAAAGACACATAAAACATATTGCATAACAAAAAAAACTTGCTACTCAATTATATAATAAAAACAAATTACATTTATACCAATTTATTTCTGCTTTAAACTTCTTTTAATTTTTGGAATTCTGAAGTCCAAAACTTCAAATTATGTTTATAAATAAAGCTTTCTAAGATAGATATTCGGACTTCTGTTTACACTTCCTTTCAAATATGTAGGTATAGGGAAAACAATTTCTTACTATTTGTTATAATAAAATATAAATGTATTTGAATTGTAAAAAGTGATGAAATAGCTTTATTTTCATTTACACACCTAAAATATATTTTATTTGTTGTCATATCCTTACCGAGTCTTTGGCCTGATTTCTTATAATAATAATAATAAAATTGTCGTGTCAAGTGTGTCCATATCGCCTTGATATGTGTCCTGTGTCCAGCCTCAATGCCACAGAAAAACAAACATGAAAGATCAAACCAAAATTGTATACTTTTCTCAAGAGCTTGTCATAATCTCATACACAACGAACTCACATTCTTCATTTCTCTACGAAAAAAAATAACCGTTACATTTGATAACAATAACAATTCAAGAGCAACCAGTACGAACTAGAGTTGGAAAGTTGACAATATTGTAAATAACAAGGCAAATGATGACTAACAACTATACTGCCATAACTGTATACTGAAATGTAGTTTCTCTCATTCAAACATGTAAAATGTTAACATATGATACAAAGAGAGGAAGAATGACAATATGATCTTTCTCACTGTTGAATATTTTAGAATTATTATTATCTATGCAGTTGAAACTCCAGAGTTTCTAATATTATTAGGGAGAATAAAAAACCAATGGACACTAACTGCATCATCTAAGGATGGCGACATGGACATGGACACAAACACGCAACACGGATACGATACGATGCAAAGACACCGACATGTGAAATGCAGGACAATACATGGCCAGAACACAGCAAAAAATATACTTCTAATTTTCCATGTGAAAAATATGAATATTTTATCAACATAACATTTACATAACAATTAAATTCCATTAAAACTGCCAACCACAATGTTGATTATCCTGTAGCCACCTTTGCCGGAAGGCTTATACAGCAATAGTTTCTTTCCAGTCACCTCTCTCTCTCTCTTTCTCTCTCTCTCCCTCTCTCTCTGTTGGCCAGCTATGTCCACCCCACGTCAAAAAAGGACACATGTCCTCTGCAAGACCAGGAAAAAAAGGGGAAAATAAATAAATAAACACAACAAAAATTGGTACACACCCTAAGGTGTGTCCAACAGTTTGTCAGACACGTGTACAGGTGCCCCGTTGGAGTGTCTATGCTTCCAGTTCATCAATACTGGCTGTCATTTTGTAAACAAACACACAAATAACAGCGAAAAAGGGAGGAAAATCACTGCAAAAACTGGAAAGGGAGCACGCTAAGCCAAGTTGCCAATAGTCTATCATACTGGCCACACATCAACAATCATTATAAGTGTTGCAAACATTAGATTCCTTAGAATTCGGGGTACATCATACTCAGCAAATAAAAAATCAAACAGCTACCATATGTAGAAGCAAACCTTTTTAAATTGGTCTTCCCAGTAATGATTGCAGTAAGAAGCTCGTTCATGCTTGCTCAGCATATTCAGAGCAGAAGGTATGAATCAAATCCAGGAAGACCAACCTGGAAACAATGGTGACATGAAAACATTTGTACCTTATAATTCACAGTCAAATTAACAGCAAGTAAGCTGATGATAGACAGGTGAAAACTGAAACAAAGCAACAATTGACTGCAAAACCTTCTCTGCCAATACACGAAGGGCTACTTCAGTTGACTCCCCTATTTTTTCATAGTTCCCCTTGTCCGAGTTGTACTGTAAAACAGACTCGTTGCATAGGGCTGAACACATTGCTATGTGAAAAAGACAAGGAAATTGAGCTGGAAACTCAAGCTGCAAAACAATAAAATCCAATGTAAAGTGCTTGACAAAATATCCTGAAAGGTCTACAAATACCAAGATGTTTACTTACTTGTTAGCAAGAGTAAGGAATACTTTGTTCTTTATGTTTATGAATAAAAGAAGGAAGGTTCCGATTGATTATATATGTGTATTAGAAATCTAATAAATCTCAGGTGCTGCATGAATGCTAATGTCATTATCTCAACCTTTTGGTCAACAACAATAACAAATGAACCAAACTGAAGGCAGTTGCATTAAAAATCCTACATGACTTCAGGACCACCTGAATTTCAAAAATTGTAAGTGATTTCTTAATCTCTCAAACGCAAGACATCATCAAAGGTTCAAGTAGCATAATAGAAATACGGGCAAATTACATTGACTTCCCTTGACTATTGCAGAAAATACACGCAGCTCCACTAGTATGGAAAAATGACACAAACCTCCTCTAATGGGCCTCAAACCCAACTAACAGAAAATATAAAACGCAATGCCCTCATATGTTTCAAAAAAAAAGCAACAACAACTACTACAGACAACATCCTCCATCCACACCTCTTCTTCCTTCCACACTCAATTATCACAGCCATTGTCACAAACATGACCCACAGCGCCCACCACCTCCATCTCACCCCATACCCCCCAACACAACCAACCCCATGTCGTAGACATCATCACCAAAACCCATTTCTTAATCTCTCAAACGCAAGACATCATCAAAGGTTCAAGTAGCATAATAGAAATAAGGGCAAATTACATTGACTTCCCTTGACTATTGCAGAAAATACACGCAGCTCCACTAGTATGGAAAAATGACACAAACCTCCTCTAATGGGCCTCAAACCCAACTAACAGAAAATATAAAACACAATGCCCTCATATGTTTCAAAAAAAAAGCAACAACAACTTCTACAGACAACATCCTCCATCCACACCTCTTCTTCCTTCCACACTCAATTGTCACAGCCATTGTCACAAACATGACCCACAGCACCCACCACCTCCATCTCACCCCATACACAATACATGCTAAGAAGAAATTGAAACCGAGCGTTAGTGTGAGTCTTGGTGAAGAAGTCCGCAAGTTGCAAAGCCGAAGGGATGAAAGGAAGCGAGATAGAGGCAGACTGCAGATGTTGGCGAACAAAGTGACAATCAATCTCAATATGTTTCGTCCACTCATGAAAGACAGTATTGTGAGCAATCTGAACAGCATTGCGATTGTCACAGTAGAGAGGGATTGGAAAAGACTGAGAGACACCCAAATCAGACAAGAGACAACGAAGTCAAACAATCTCAGCAGTGGCATGAGCCATAGCATGATACTCAGCTTTGGCAGTAGAGCGAGCAACGACTGATTGTTTCTTGCTTTTCCAAGAGATTAATGAATCTCCAAGAAACATACAGAAACCAGATGTAGACTTACGATCAGTAACATCACCAGCCCAATCAGAGTCAGCATAGGCCACCAAGTCCAAAGAGGAAGTAGAGGACAACAATAAGCCTTGAAAGATAGTACCCCTGAGATAGCAAAGAACGCGAACCAAAGCAGCCCAATGGGTAGAGCGAAGAGCAGAAACAAACTGACTAACCACATGAACAGCATAAGCAAGGTCAGGACGAGTGACAGTCAAATAAACTAAACAACCCACAAGCTCGCGATATAAAGTGGGATCATCCAGAGGGACACCATCAGTAGAGTTAAGCTTCACATTAAGCTCAGTAGGTGTATCAGAAACCTTAGTATCAGCAAGACCAGCACGATGAATGACTTCATTAGCATACTTAGCCTGAGACAGAAAATAGCCCTTGGGAGAAGAAGCAACCTCAATACCAAGAAAATACTGTAATGGACCCAGATCCATCATTTCGAAGCGGAAGAGATGCTGCTTGACCTCAGAGATAGCAGAAGAGTCCGAGCCAGTGATGATCATATCATCCGCAAAGCAAGAGGGCAACAAAACCAACCGAGGCATGTCGCAGAAATAAAGCAGAGACAGAAGCTGAAGGATGAAACCCAAGCTCAGTAACAGCAATTTGAAATCGATCATACCAAGCACGGGAAGACTGTTTCAGACCATATAGAGCACGCCGAAGACGACAAACCTGTCCAGAGGGATGGTGAAGGCCAGGGGGAGGACGCATGTAAACCTCCTCAGTGAGATGGCCATTAAGAAAAGCATTCTTAACATCCATCTGATAAAGAGGCCAAGAACGAACAGCAGGGACAGAGATCAAAGTACGGACAGTAGTCATTTTGGCAACTTTACACCCCCGACATTCAGTAAGTTCACTAGGAGAAACTTTACCCAAAATATCCGACTGAGCTAAAGACCGTAAGCGGTCAGCAGACAAATGCCCTAATCGAGAATGCCATAAGTAGAAAGGACTAGACAGAGAATCTAACTGAAACGAAGAAAACGCAGTCAAAGAGCAATAGGCAGATGCAAGCTCTCCACCACATAGAGGTCTCCAATTCTACGGCCGATACCAATCTGCTGCTTAGAGATTCGATCCTGTACAAAATAGATAGCAGAAGAAAAGATAACATCAAAACTAGCGGCATCAAGCTGACTGATAGATAATAAACTGACAGATAACTAAGGAACATAAAGGACAGATGGAATAGAGACAACAGACATAGCAGACGGTAGGACAGACCCAACAAATACAACAGACATACCAGATTCATTAGCCGCATTGACAGTAATAGGAAAGGGTGGAGGAGTACAATTGTGAAGTAAGGAGAGATGGGGAATCATATGATGAGAGGCACCAGAGTCAAAAAGCCAGACAGACGAAGAGATACCTGAAGAAGACCCAAGCAAACCTGAATGAAGAGATGAAACAACGGAAGTAGATGGAGATGGCTAGGAGGTGGACAATATATGCTGAAGTTGACTAATCTGAGCAGTCAAGATCAAGAGTCGGAGCAGATGCAACATACGCAGTGGGAGGAGCCCGAAAGTGGTTCTGAGATTGCTGAAAAAATGAGACAGGCTGACGTCCTTTCTTGGGACAGTGGTACTTCCAATGGCCCTTCTGATGATAGAAGGCACACTCATCAAAAGCCAGAGACATCGTAATAACTAGAAAATTGAGGGATTAAAGTGTAATAAACCCTATATTCAACAAAATAGCGAAAACAGGGGTCGAAGGATAATACACAGAAATCTGATGGGGGTAAGGCCAATAAATCCAAAACCATAGTGTAATAATCAGAAGAGTGTTAAGTCTGAATGTAAAATATAAAAACTAGTTTTCAGAAGAGTGTTAGGTCTGAATGTAAAATATAAAAACTAGCTTTTTTTTTTTTTTTTTTTTTTTTTAACCCTGACCCACAAATATTAACTAGAGTATTGAAGTCAAAAGAACCAGTCTGAAGCCAAGAGAACCAAATCAGAGAAGAGAGAGAGAGAGATTGAAGCCGAAGTCAAGGAAGAGGGAGATTACGACGTGGTTGGTGGTGCCCACTAGGGTTTTGTAGAGTCAATGTCTCCGACGCGTAAACGTGGAGCGAGAGGAGCGAAGGGGAAGAGTGAGTTGCGTCTCGGTGATCTGGTTCTCGCCAAGGTCAAGGGAACTTCGATCGATCAAAGGAGAAGATTTAAGAACCAGAGACTGAAGAGGACGATGACCCACAACTCACACAGAGACTGAAGAGGAAGACAATTTCTAGGGTTCTGGTGGTGGCTTTGATACCATGTAAGATTCTTGAAAGCTTTTCTGTATCTTGTATATTCAATGTGTGAATGATTACAATCAGACCTTAGATTATATAGCCCTAAATCCTAAACCAAAAGGGAGAATACAATTATGGCTCTAATAGGACTCTAACACAACCATAACTCTAATAGGACTCTAATTTGTACAACCACAATCATGCCTAATTTGGAAAATAATAGAAAATACACAATATATTCTCACACACGGAAATCCTAACTCCAACCCATAGTAGTCACCATCACCGGAGCCCTAACCACAACCAACAGCCACCATTGCACACACACACACAGAGAGAGAGAGAGAGAGAGAGAGGATCCGTCTATCATCACCTACAATACGTCCATCACCTCATACAATCCGTTCATCATCACCCTCCTTTCATCATCATCAACATCAACAACAGCAGCAGCAACAACAAAGAAGGGAAAAAATTTGAAGAAAATAAGAATAGAAAGAAAATATTTAATTTGAAACCCAGATTTGGTTTGTATTGATTTGAAACAACACATTTAGTTTGCATTGGTCCAATTGTGATGGTATGTCTGCAAGCACGATGCTTCAATAGTGATGGCATAATCACAATGCAACGATCGTTATGGTTTGATTTTGATGATGATTGGGGGGTATGCCAAAGGAAAAAGGGAGTGTTAGTGAGAATGTTATAGTGGTGGTGGCGGTGGCGGTGGCGAAGGGGGATGCAATGGCAGGCAGTACGTGATGATATCGTGGTGTGTGGTAGTCGGAGTCACAAGGACGCTGGGTGAGATTGGATCGCACCAGAGAGAGGAGGCAACAAGTCACAAGGACGCTAGGTGAGATTGGATCGCACCAGAGAGAGAAGGCAACATCATGGGGGAGGGGAAGCAGTGGCCTAATGGTGAGGGATGGGAAGCAATAGCAGCATGATTGGAGACAAAGGCAACGACAGCATGGAAGAGGCAAAAGCAGAGGTGAAGATTGTTGTTTGTTTTAGTTCGGCAGTGGTTATAAGATAGAAGTTAGACATCTGGGAGATAGGGTTTTAGGGATGTAGGGTAGACGACTTTTTTTGGGAGGTGGTTTTTTTGGCCATGGAAACTTTTCCTTTTTTTTTTTTTTTGTGGCGGTGGCGAAGGGGGATGCAATGGCAGGCAGTACGTGATGATATCGTGGTGTGTGGTAGTCGGAGTCACAAGGACGCTGGGTGAGATTGGATCGCACCAGAGAGAGAAGGCAACATCATGGGGGAGGGGAAGCAGTGGCCTAATGGTGAGGGATGGGAAGCAATATCAGCATGATTGGAGACAGGCAACGACAGCATGGAAGAGGCAAAAGCAGAGATGGAGATTGTTCTTCGTTTTAGTTCGGCAGTGGTTATAAGATAGAAATTAGTCATTTGGAGGATAGGGTTTTGGGGGTGTAGGGTAGACGTCTTGTTTTTTAGGAGGGGGTCTTTTGGCCATGGACACTTTCCCTTTTTTCTCTTTTTATATTTTATTTTTCTTTCAAATTTTTTTTATTTATTGGGCAAATTACATATACCCCCTCGAGGTTTGGCTAAATTACAGATACCCCCTTGAGGTTTCGGAAATTACATCCCGCCCCCTGAAGTTTATTTCATAACAAATTACCCCCTAATTTCTTATGCAAATATAGCATTCAGAGGGAACCTCAGGGGGGTATCTGTAATTTAGCCAAACCTCGAGGGGTGTATATGTAATTTGCCCTTATTTATTTAAGAAATTAAAAAGGGTAAATTTGGTATTTTCATTAAAAATATGATGACATGAGCAAATTCCATCCACTTCACTAACGGTTGATTAATGGCGTGGGCCCAAGTGTAATGCAATAGTTTTCAAGGGAAGCCGGTGTCATTTTTCCATACTAGTGGGGCTGAGTGTAATTTGAACAAATACTGAGGGAGGTCCATGTAATTTTCCCTAGAAATAAAGGAAGAACAAAAAAAAATTCACAGTTAAGTAGCTACAGCAGTAACCACTGTCTAACATTAGACAACAATTCCACTTCCCACATTTCTTTCAAGATGAGAATAAAATAAATAAATAAATAAAGCAAAGGATGATATTATCAAATCCTACAGGCTGACAAGTCAAGACAATTACTAACTCAAATTCAGAATGCAAACGCAAGACAAAACAGACAAAAAAATAACAACCCCACACACAGGAAGTAGAAAAAAACATTTATAATACTATCCAATCCAATTAACCAACATTTTATAAGTCATAAAGGTATGAGTACATTTAACTCTGACATAAACTGCACTCGAAGAGAAAAAATTTAGTAGTATACAATATGAGGGGTTTGAATGAAAATATGATGTAAACAAGCTAGCCTGGAAACCATATCAAGGAATATGTGATTTCAACATGTAAGCAATGCATACACAATAGTGTAGAAAATTATGAAAAAATTTACCAACAAAAGAATTTAGTCGTTCGTAATATATATGGTATTAGGAGGCATATTATTCGAGAAAAAATACCTGTATCCCATCACTGTCAAAAATAAAGCCCTCTGGCGCATATGTTGTCCCACTGACACTGTATTCAGAAGTAGTAAGACCATGGTGTGCAGAATGAAGCACACATATCTGGACAGGCAGGAAATAGAAAGGGTAGATTAAGTTTTTCCATCTTATGGTAAAACAGGATTCGATGATCAAATAAAGCAATCTGAATTAAGTAAAAATGTCCCCATCAATGTGGAATTTCTTTCATAATATGAACAAATAGTTTTCACCTTCTTGTTCTTCTTGAGAATTAAAATTATTGAAGATAAGGAAGAAGTGCAAAACAAAGACGAACAAACACAACGAAGGGACTTTAAAAAAACTAAAACTAGCGCCAGTTCAACAATAGAGGGAAGAAAACAAACGGAATGTATCAAGGACAAGTTTCGCACATCCATAAATTCAAAGAGTATATTACCAAAACACAAAATGAAGACCAACAAGAAGTGGGGGGGAAAAAAAAATAATTAGTATATTCTAAGCCTATAACTAGGCCACTCTTGTAATATTTAGTATCGATCTTAATTGTATTATTTTCAAAATAAATCAAACAAAAATAAGCAGACCAAACGTCCACTAAACAACCATATTGAGTAAGGTAGTGTTTGGTAGAGTTTTCTAAATATGATTTGAGAATAGGAGTTGTATTTTGAGTTTGTGAGTTTTGGAATTATGATTTGAGTGTAGAAAATTTATTTGGTGAATGAGTTTTGAATTGAGTGGAGAATTTTTGATGTGACATGATATCTGATACAAAAACTTACAACTCATAACCAAACACACAACTAAAAAATCTATTAAAAGCTCATAAAAAATTTTAAAATTTTTCAAAAATATTGTTTTATTAAAAATATTTGAAAAAACTAATGCCAATTGCAAAAAAATAAAATAAATAAATAAAATCGCACTGTTCAAGTCAACCGGCCGGACGACAGATGTTTGACCGGTAGGCCAAATTTTAAAATTTAAAAACCCGCTTGGAACGAGTTTTCAAGAGGGGTGGAATTAATTTTCCAAAACCCAAACCAAACATCATACTAGAATATAGGGGTAGAACTATGGTTCCAAAACTCTTCCAAACACAGCCTAAAATTGTCTCCAACAGACACACAACTTACCTAAAAGAAATTGCAAAAAAAAAAAAAAGGGAATACATCGATATTTACTTGACATGTTGAAATTCAAAAAGCAATTTTAAACATCAAAACCTAACAATGAAGTGCACTAAACAAAATAAAATAAACTAACCATATTGAAGAATCAGCTTTCATAACATCAACCCTAACAAATTACATGTTATCATTTTTACAGCAAGGCAAGGAAGACATACAGATAGGTAGAGGTGTTCATGTACCTAATTGTAAAAAGTAATGCGCTAACCTTCGAAATAGACATCATATTGGTAGTCAGAGTACCAGTCTTGTCACTGCAAATTACTGTTGTGCAGCCTAAGGTCTCTACAGATGGCAAAGACCTTACAATAGCATTCATCCGAGCCATTCGTTTTGTTCCAAGAGCCAAACACCTAATAAAATTAAAGGAAACATAATGCTGAAGTTCCACAAAAAGCTTCTAAAAATATCATGTGCAGGCAACCTAAACAACTAGAAAACATTTACCCCTGTATTTTTTGTGCTAACTGTACAGAAATATCAACGACCTGAAAACTAAGTGAAATTTAATCCAGTATATGATAGATTCTTGGAAAACTATGCAAGGAGAGCCTCATCTAGCACATAAAGCCAAAAGTATCACAAACTTTCATATTAGTTAAATAATACTCCCTCTGTCCTATTTTATGTGTCTAAGTTTCAAATTTCAAAACCCTAAATCATCAATTTGCCATATTACCTGCCTTCTAGGAAGCACGGATACCAATACAGGATACGGGTACGATACGATACGATACGGGATACGGGTACGATACAATACGGATACGGCGATACGACAAAATTTGAAAAATTAGGATACAGGTACGGCGGGGATACGTTCGTAAAAAAATATTATTTTTATAATTTTTAATAATATAGCATGTATAAAAATAAAAAATAAAAAAAGAAGAGTCAAAATTCACCTAATAACACAAATTATGAAAATTTAAATTTTTTTACAAAAAGAGTCAAAATTCACCTAATAACACAAATTATGAAAATTTAAATTTTTTTACAAAAAGAGTCAAAATTCACATAAATTTTGAAAATTTAAATTTTAAATAAAAAAGAGTTAAAAAAAAAAAGAAAAAAGAAAAAAAGTCAGAACTATTATCCTAATATCTCAAAACATAAGAAAAACAAAAAATAAAATAAAATAAAAATCAAAACAGGAACTGGGAGAGAGAGAAACAGTGAGATCGAACAAGAGGGACTGAGTGAGATCGAGCGAGAGAGGGACCGAGAGATCAAGCGAGAGGGAGAGAGAGAGACCAAGAGATCGAGCGAGGGGGAGAGAGAGAGGAAGCGAAAGGGAGAGGGAGAGAGGACGAACTTGATCGACGATGATTCCTTGTCCTCCTTGCTGTTGCCTGCTATTCGCGAACCTTCCTTGCGATAGAGACGATTGAGACGACGACTCCTCTTGCTGCTACTGTTCGCGAACCTAGGGCTTGGAGGTTGGTTGATTTTTTTTTGTTTTATGTTACATTATTTTGTTATTTTACAGTTTAACCCCATTAGAAGTTTTTGAAATTATTTTTTCACCCCGCCGTATCCTGAAAGTATCCTGTACGTATCTTGAAGTATCCTAGCGTATCCCAAACATATCCGAAATTCAAAAAATAAAAAAAAAAAATATATGGGATACTTCTTTGCCGTATCTGATACGTATCCCGCCGTATCGGATCCGTATCCGACACGCGTACGGGGGCCGTTTTGGAGTATCCGTGCTTCATAGCCTGCCTTTAAATTTATATTTAACCACATAATCCAACCCCAAAAAGTTACTCGAATCGGACAAAAGGCATTTTTTAAAATTCCAAAAGAATTCCATAAACTGTGTGCATGGTCAAATATGCCATACAAAATGGGATGAATCAAGTACAAAGATAGCTTTCACTACTCAAAAACAGAGATGCATATTTTTCAGCCAAATTTATTTAGCAAAAAATAAGATAGAAAAATTACGTAGCCCGGCTAGACATGGCAAGTTAATCGGTGCTAAGAAAGATTGCTACTTAAGGAACAGATTGGTTAATTGTGAAATAAAGTAGTAGTCTTTAAGGCCATATTTTGGGAACTTAGATAGTGGTTAATATAGCGAACAAGACTTGGTAGACTTTTAACTTTGTGCCTAGATACTTATCTACAAGCTTAGGTTTATCTGTTTTTGAAGATTTGGATGTATTTGTTTGCATCATCTTGATACTTGATTTCTAATAAAGTTACCTCTTATTTATCAAATAGAACTGTGCCCAGTAACAAGCCACATTTGCTGCGGTATCTGTCTATAAAATGTGAGCATTAGATGACAATAATGGGGTTGTAATGCCTTGTATATATATATATATATCTTTGGGACTCTTCCTTGCACCCTTTCATGCTTAGTTGTTAATTTAAAGCAAATGCTAGTTGATATATTCCCAGCAACCTCGCTGCAGTGTTTTACCACTGCAGCAGTTGGTGTCAGATCGATTGATCTTCTCTTCTTGTGGATTAATTAACTTGCATTTGAAGCCACAAACAGTCCATGAATGAAAGAACGAGGAAAGGATAGAAAGATGATCAACTTGTTGAAGCGATGATTGCATCAAAAATGAAGGAATATATATATATATATATATATATTTTGATATGTAGATTATCCTGGGCCAGCTTGCGCGCACCAGACTATGTCCCTACAGCCCGAACAAGCCTTCCGAAATAGGTTTATTCCCTACAGTCCGTGGCCCAAGAGTTTTGTTGTCGAAGGGACTTGAACTTGAGACCTTGGAGGGAGCAAACTCCCAAGTCACAGGCCTCATGCACCAGGCCAAACCTTTGGGGTTAAAAATGAAGGAAAATATTGAAGATCTTCATATCAAGTTAGGTGAAATATTTTGGCACAGAGATTCTTATCTCTGGAATCAGAGGTAGAAGGTGAATTACCACCATTATTTGATGAGTATTCTGACAATGGATGTCTAATTGTTGGCAACATAAGTGTTCATACATCTATTGATTCTGCCAACAACATAAGCAATAATTACATGACTTTGTTGTTGATGATTTTTTTTTTTGTAACAACGGACAACATGATCTGTTGATTGATTTTTCATTACCTGAAACAATGAATCTTGAGGTGTTAAGTGCTTCCAAATAGTATTATTTGAAGCTTTCTTTGAGTTAGCACGATCCATTTTTGTGGAATTTTGCTGAAGACTATATGAAGATAGACTCATGGATTAAATTCTTCATTAGAATTTACATACGGATGCTGACTATCAAATCGTTGAAATATAGAAATGAAACTAGAAAATGAAACTTAAGTTCAATTTTTGCAAATTATAAAATTGTAAAAAGAAGGAAGATGTAAGGGCATGCCAAGGAAGTGTTAAGCAAGTCAAAAGCATATGTTCAAACAACAAAGGAAATGCTGACAACAAACTCAAGGGCGAGTTTCACGCAACAATGGAGAGACTAAAGCAGCCCAACCAGACATTAGCAACTCAAGAACAGTTCCTTAAGGAATTGATTCTTATTTGTGAGTATAGTAATCTGTGAAGTTAAGACTAAGGCCACATTTTGGGAATTTGCATTGCGGTTAATATAGTGAACAAGTCTAAGTACACTTTTTTTTGGTTCTGCCTAGTAATGCTTACATTTTCTATGGTAGCTGTCTAGAAAATGTAAGTGTTAGATAACAATGGGTTGTAGACTGAGAGTGACATGAAAGCATCAACTTTGAAAATGAGAGCATGCATATTAATTTATATATAAATTTTAATTTGCAATTTTTTTCATTATTTGAGAATCAACAAATAGTTTTTTATGTATATTTTAAAAAGAAATAATAAAAAAAATTAAAGCAAAAAATATATGAAAAAATTTGTAGAGTAGCATGGCAAAATGCAAGATGTTGATTTTTTAAATCTCAGGTTCAAGTCATTTCAAGTTCAAGATGGTTTTTTTTTTTTTTTTTTTGGGATAAATATTTCAGGTTCAAAATCTTTTGAGCATTATATATTGTGCTATTGCAAGATACACAAGATCATGCAACATGTGAGCCTAGAACCCTATACCACAGAATGTACAAAACAGCTGGGTTGTTTTGTGGAACATGGATAGCAGCAGGTGTACTATAGAGTGGCACAACAGATGAATCCATAGACGTGTCAGCTAAATATTCTCACAAACATCAATTCATTGTCAACCAACAATTCTTTCTCAATTTTGCTCCTAGTAAAATCCATGAACCAGAGTATGGTCCACCACGATGGCAGATTTGGCTTATTATAGTTCCCAGCAACTGCTCTGCCGTGTTTTTTAACTGCATCAAATTTAGCAATAAACCTATTTTTGTGCAAACTACATAGAAATACAATTTGACAAAGAACAGCACAAAATAGAGGCTCTAATCCATGAAATGCGAAACCATAATTGATAAATCAGAAATGTGGGCTCAAAGGAGGTTACCCTTTTTAAATCATCAAAATTAGCAAAATAGGTTGAGAGAAATTAAAAGCTATAAAGATGTTAAATTACCAGCTGCCCCAAAAGTTTAACCGGTTAATGATGATCCCTCACAATTTGAACTGAATAGGGTGCACAAAAACAAACAAAACATAATAAAATAGACACTAACAATCACATATAACAAGACTTGACACCTCCAATAAACAAAGCTCCAATATTAGGTTACATTAATGCTTGCACCAAAAGCTTTTGCTGTCAGGAAAAGGGACCATATATATATATATCAAGCTCTCAAAAAAAAACAGTGCATCACAAACTCATGGGCAATTTTGAATCCTCAAAAACCATATCTACTGGTTATCACTTGACGTGATTGTAAAATACAATTTGTTTGGTAAGGCTCCTTAAAGTATTGGAGGTCCAAGTTAACATTAAATGTGCATTATATGAGATAAAAGCACACCAATGCATATTTCTATATTATTTTTCAAAAGAAAAACTTCTTGTTTGTTTTTTTGGTTATCAATCATATAGTTATTGGTATCCGATTAATATGATTTTTGGTAGGCTTGAAGTACTCAACAAACCCTACAAAATGACGGTTCAGATCATAAAAATAATCCCATAATGCATCACAAAATGAAGCACAACAGTCACTGTTGTGCCGTTGCCACAGCAGTGACCCCAATTCCTTGGCAATTATGGGGCGTCAACACCTCGAATTCAAGTTTCTTAAGGAACTAGTTTGCCTAAAGTGAAATCCGGCTCTAACTCCCAAACAGGAAACCCGATTGGAGTCCTGTCTTCTCCCACAAGTTTCTCGCGCCTAGGCGATAGTGTATGGCAGGTTTTGTGCGAAACCGACGCCTTTTGGCGATTTTAGGGCGTCAAAACCTCGAATTCAAGTTTCTTAAGGAACTAGTTTTCCTAGAGTGAAATCCGGCTCTGACTCCCAAACCGGGAACCCGATTGGAGTACCGTCTTCTCCCAGAAGTCTCTCGTGCCTAGGCTGTCGTGCGTGCCAAATTTCGTGCCAAACCGACGCTGTTGTGGTGATTTTGGGGCATCATCACCTCGAATTCAAATTTCTTAAGGAACTAGCTTGCCTAGGCCGCAATCCGGCTCTAACTCCCAAACCGGGAACCCGATTGGAGTACCGTCTTCTTCCACAAGTCTCTCGTCCCTAGGCGGTCGTGTGTGCCAAGTTTCGTGCAAAACAGACGCCGTTTGCAGATTTTGGGGCGTCAACACCTCGAATTCAAGTTTCTTAAGGAATTAGTTTGCATAGAGTGAAATCCGGCTTTAACTCCGAAACCGGAAACCCGATTGGAGTACCGTCTTCTCACACAAGTCTCTCGTCCCTAGGCGGTCGTGTGTGCCAAGTTTCGGGCCAGACCGACGCCGTTTGGCGATTTTGGGGCATCAACACCTCGAATTTAAATTTCTAAAGGGACCGAAATCCAGCTCTAACTCCCAAACCGGGAACCCGATTCGAGTCACGTCTTCTCCCACAAGTCTCTCGTGCCTAGGCGGTCGTGTGTACCAAGTTTCGTGCTAATCGAACCCCGTTTGGTGATTTTAAGGTGTCAAAACCTCGAATTCAAATTTATTAACGAACTAGTTTGCCTATAGTGAAATCTGGCTCTGGCTCTAACTCTCAAACTGGGAACCCGATTGGAGCCCCGTCTTCTCCCACAAGTCTCTCGTGCCTAGGCAGTTGTGTGTGCCAAGTTTCTTGCCAAACCGACGCCGTTTGGCAATTTTGGGGCGTCAACACCTCGAATTTAAATTTCTTAAGGGACAAAATTGTCTAGACCGAAATCTGGCTCTTACTCCCAAACCGGGAACCCGATTCGAGCCCCGTCTTCTCCCACAAGTCTCTCGTGCCTAGGCAGTTGTGTGTGCCAATTTTCTTGCCAAACCGACGCCATTTGGCAATTTTGGGGCGTCAACACCTCGAATTTAAATTTCTTAAGGGACAAAATTCTCTAGAACGAAATCTGGCTCTTACTCCCAAACTGGGAACCCGATTCGAGCCCCGTCTTCTCCCACAAGTCTCTCGTGCCTAGGCGGTCGTGTGTGTTAAGTTTCGTGTCAAGGCGACGCCGTTCGGTAATTTTGGGGCGTCAACACCTTAAGTTCAAAT